TCATTGCACTCAGTGGGTGTTGCAGTTGAACAGTCCACAAGTCGTCAAATAAAGCGCGCACATCCATAATAAAACTTTTCTCACATGGCTCCGGGTTGTGAATAAAGGCCTCCTGTAGCAAATCAATGAGTTTTTGTAAGAAAAATATCCATATTTCAAATGTAATAAACACTTTTCTCTCATTTCTGCTAACTGTCATACACTGAAGCAGTTCCGGCGGATGACGTAAGACATCGGCGTTGCGTGATTAGTGACGAATGCGGAGAGAGAACAAAACAAAACGCCGGTCACGAATTAGAAGTACAAACCGAAGATTTGCAAAGAAAAATGTCAGAGGATTTCGATATAAACCAAGAGGAGACTGGTTTTCCTTTGCTAAAGTAAGGAAATTTTGCTTCCTTTGCTCCTGTAAACAAACTCGCGAGACTAGCATATCTCAGAGGCGCGTGCACTGCACATACGTCCTGCATCATCCGCCGACAATAATTCTTTAACTACTGCTGAATATGTGTATATACAGTACAATACTGTTTTGTAGTTATACAGTACACTGTTCTACATACTGTAAAGTTGCATTACAGTACATTGCTGTAAAACCAAAATACAGTAACTTACTGGCAACCATTCTGCCAGTAACTTACTGTAAAAATACAGGAACATTTTTAACAATGTATGTTATGGGGTCCAAATGTCCCCACAAAGATGGCAATATTCAAAATCATTGTCCTTGTTGGTCCCCATAAGGAAACAAGCTTATAAATCATACAGAATTGAGTTTTTTGGAAATCTAAAAATGCACCAAACATTAATACTTAAGGTTGGGTGTTTGTTCAAATATAAGCTATTTAGTGTATAGAACATGCATCAGAGGAACACATGCACAGCAGCCATCTTTAGAATTGATCTTTGAACTTCCATTTTTGCGGTAGCTCTAGCAATGCTGTTGAAGTGAAGTGGATTTTATTGTAGAGTTAACGAAAGTTATCATTTGCATTGTAGGCCTAATGTTCGAAGTGGATGTCATAACAAATGTCAGTAGGCTGGAAAGATTTTAAAATGAGCAGTTCATTCATAAATTCTTGTACCTTCAGGCTGTGGAAATACTAACCGGAAGACCAAAGACAATGAGCGCAGAGTCGAAAAGGGGCAGAGCTACATAAGGCCCGTTTATCAGTTTGTCAGTTGAAACATCAGCATTTATTGTAAGCTCGGTGTGAGATCTTTTTATAGAAAGTGATCACTTTAAGGAGATTTATGATGGGTGATCGGGTTTACAGCATTGAATTTTATTGCTCTGCTTTAGTTCAGCATCCAATGTATTCTTAGAGTTGTTTCTCAATGGCCTTTGACAGTTTTTTATGTCAGTTAATTATGTGCCATAAGACATTAATTCTTGTTTGAGCATAGCCTACTCAAGTCTTCTTAGGAACACTGCTCTCATCTTATCTGTTAACAAGATGTGCAGGACTTTATCATACAATTATGATAAACTTGAAGCAGTAAATGTTTTACTTGTACTTAAAGGAAACAAAAGGCACAGTTTGCATGCATAAATTTTATACGTAACGACAGTTACCAAATCATAAATGCAGAACTTAAACAAATAGAATGGAAGGATGTGATTTACAGCTTTTATTCAAAACTGCAAACAAGTCTGACAACAAGTGAAATGGCTGTGTCCAAATTCCAGTAATGAAAAGAAAAGGCACTACAGAGAAATGAGCAGCAACTTTGCATGCATTCTCTGAAATTATGTTTAAAACCGCATGCTCTGTTGAAGCTGTGGCTTAGAGATTAGTGGCTCTCATGTGCTACAAATGGGTTTGATTGAGTCTTTTCTCCTCTGTTGGAAACAAGAGAGAATGTGTAACGTCTGCATATGGCTATGGCTTGGGAAAAGGCCAATTTTTTATCAGTGCGGTGATGATGTGTTCTTATTTCATATCTACATTATTATGGTGGTTATCTGTAAATGTCGAAGGTCAAGAAGGTTGGTATATTATAACATATCAGTGAATGTTGTATCCTGTAATGTTACAAAAAGCATTTTGAATAAGTTGGGTTGAAAATAAGAAATAATAATAATGAGAAATAATAACAACCTCCTGTTTTAGTATCAGCAAATGAGGCAAAAATTAGCACATCTCATGGATATTATAATTAATTTAAAAAAATTAAAAAAATTAAAAAATAAATTCAGTAGTTGCCAAAGCAACATTTCTCATTTTTATTTAGTTTAACTTGATGTATTAAAATAACTAAAATTACAAAATAAATTAATTAAATTAGTAAAAACTATATAGACAACAGTAAAATGAAAATGAAAAATATGAAACTAAAAACTAATTCAAAATATTAATAAAAACTATAATAAAATCTAAATGATGCTACATAACTCCACCTTTCATTACATGTTATTATCAGACAAACAAACAATAAATAAATAAATGTTTACTGATATTTATTAAAAAAAAAAAACACAAACTATTGGATATTTCTCTTTGTTTTCTCCAAAGAAATAAATAAGAAACTGTGGAAATTAGGATTTGTTTGGCTAACATGGGTTGACTGCATGACTATTATTTGTGACGAATTATTACTGTCCATTCTGTGGCCTTTTTTTTTTTTTTGGTAATTTAAAACTTACAATTTTTCAGGTTCAGGTTTTCAGAATCAGGTTCTTAGCATGTTTAGCACAAACTGTGTTAAATGCACAATCCCCAAATGCAGGCGGATGCCCATTTATCACAATTTATTGCCGGATTCCAATCATAATGAATACTACAATATACAAAAATGTATGTTTATTGAATATAGAAAATATACATTTTATTGTAGAATTCATTATGATTAAAGGCACAATATGTCATTTTCGCCGCTAGATCTCTGGATTTAAACATTCTTCGAAACATTTGGGATAATGTAAGTACACAAGTCAGCAAAATATATAACACTGTTCTAGTGGTTTTGGGATATTTTAATAAAAAATCTTACATATTGTGCCTTTAAATGAATCTGAACATATGTGTTGTGCTGGCATATATAGCAGTCATTTGGATATATATTGACAGTATCAGCATGCTTAACTTTAATTAAAAAAATGATGTTTTTAGTTTCCAATATAACTGTAGAAATAATAATAATAATTAGTTACATTTATATAGCACTTTTCTGGGTACTCAAAGCGCTTTACATGAAAGCGGGGGAATCTCCTCAACCACCACCAGTTCTATTCACCGCCATTAATTATTTTATGCAACAAAAATATTGATAAGAGGACGGTTACTGAGACCAAGTCAGTAAAATTAGTCATGTGATCTTAACATGGCAAACCTCTCCATATGACTGATAAGACTTTGTCTTCATAATGATCTAAAATAAAACAGACCCCACAGCACAAAAACATGCACAAAATAATTTTTTTTTTGCTATTGGTATACAGTTAAAGGCAACCCAAATTCCAAACAAAAAAAATTCAAAAATGTTAACAGTAGGTCAGACTGACCTGCTGCTTGCTTATCTGTAGTCTCTATAATTAGATAAATACAATTTGCAGCTGTTTACATTTTTAAAACAATCATGAGCCCAAAGCAATAACAAGGAGATACAATTCACATTGTAAACATGAGTCTCTCAGTTCTGAAATGAGAGGCGGAGTCTTCATCTTCCTGAAGCTCTAGGCTATAGACAGTTTGTGTTGGAGCACTGACCGTCACTTCTTTGGAGAAACTTAGGACAGCACTTTGGGAAGATGCAGTACGACTATAGTAAAAACAAGGACGAACATCCGGAGCCCATCAAAGCTGAAGTAAAAGGTAGGAGGAGAAAAATACGTGGCCAGTAACACGCGCCTGCATTGAATCACTGTTTATAAACCGAGTAGCCTACTAAAAAACTTAACGCGTTTCTTCGCGCAACATATTTTTTATTTGCACTCCTCCGTGTTTTATTGTATTTCTCACGAGAGGCAGAGCGTCTTTAGTAAAGCAATGATATTGTAAGGCTACGCCATTCACAAAATATGTTCAGCATATCTCTGTAAAGCCATGTCATAACAAGTAAACAAAAATTACCACAACGGATCCACATGCACAATTTTGTAATATATTGCATTATTTGGTGTCTTTTATTAAATAGATCACTGTTGTTAACGTTCTTTGGAGCTCATATGGCAAATACCTTCCATGTTTTTAAAGAAACATTGTCACAAAAGTATAAAAATATGTTGCCTACCATGTAGGCCTATATTGTTTTGTTAAAATATATTGAAATTGTAAAATTGGCTATGAA